ACCAGCTGTCTTCCCTTCAGTCTGTCTGTTCAAATATATATCCGTTTTGTAGCTTTCCCACGATTATCCAAATCAAACAAACAAACGAAAATGACGTACGTACATAACAACGGAATGGAAAACAATCAACATTGCTTAAAGTGATCTTTAGATAAATTAGAAATTAAAACAAAATAGATCCAAAACAATTATATGTTCAAAGAAGAACTTGTCTATTTTATTTCATTTCTTTTACTGTCAGTTTTAATAAATACTGTTTATAGGTGAGATTAATTCAATAGAAATGTATAATTTACTCGGTAAAAACACAACGGCTATCACGTGTACAAGCTATAACATCTACCAACAAGTAAAGAACATTGGAACCAGACATGGCCTAATGGTTAGCATTTAGGACTGGGAATGAGGATCCCCGGGTAAGCTCGCGTTATGCCACAGAACACACTGTGGGACGCGTTGTAATTTAGTATCAGTAATTCTGCTAACTGGTTAACTTCCCTCTGATCAGTAGCTCTAGATTAATCCTAAACCTTGGGGTCTTTAGCCTGGTTATTTGGCCCACTAGTCGCATAAAATTGTAAAATACCAAATAGCAAGAAGTTTATTACAAATAAAGATAACAAGTCGAAGCCGTTATAGCGGCACTGAAATTATCACTGTTACTACAATTAAGTAAAATTATTAAGCCTGGGATAGCTGTCTTCGGTAAACTGATTGTGAATAAGGGTAATTCTGCAATACTCTAAAATATTGGTTATTAAGGAGTATATACTAATACACCCCCGTAATAATGAATTATACACTTTTACTACAATGGATTATCACGCAAGGAAGTCTCTCTTGGCATCTCAAGAATATCGCGATCATATCATGACATCAAACAACTTTTGCATAATTAAGCCATCACTGAGGATGAAATAACGCTTGTCAAGTTTTTTTTCATCTCTATATAACATTTTAAAATTACCTGTAATATACAATACTTACAATTACATTTGTCATAAAAAATTAATATTACACCTAATACATTTTTAAATACTACATTTGTAATCTAGTCCTTTAGGGATTTTCAAGAATTAGAAGAGTGTATAATAACTGTTTGTTGTTTATATCTTGCTAAACTAGGTTCTTCCCAGCTTACTGTTTGTTGTTTACACCTCGCTAAACTAGGTTCTTCCCAGCTTACTGTTTGTTGCTTACACCCCGCTGCAACTAGGTTCTTCCCAGCTTACTGTTTGTTGTTTATATCTTGCTAAACTAGGTTCTTCCCAGCTTACTGTTTGTTGTTTACACCTCGCTAAACTAGGTTCTTCCCAGCTTACTGTTTGTTGCTTACACCCCGCTGCAACTAGGTTCTTCCCAGCTTACTGTTTGTTGTTTATATCTTGCTACAACTAGATTATCCTTTGCTTATCGTTTGTTGTTTACACCTCGCTAAACTAGGTTCTTCCCAGCTTACTGTTTGTTGTTTACACCTCGCTAAACTAAGTTCCTCCCAGCTTACTGTTTGTTGTTTACTCCTCACTACAAATAGGTTCTCCCAAGCTTTCTGTTTGTTGTTTACACCCCCTTACAACTAGGTTCTCCCCAAATTTCTGTTTGTTGTTTACACCTCGCTACAACTAGGTTCTCCCCAAATTTCTGTTTGTTGTTTATACCTCGCTACAACTAGGTTCTCCCCAAATTTCTGTTTG